TTTTGAATTTTATAAAGGCCATTGGCCTTTATGGCAAGTTGTAAAATGAAAAATGAAAACGTACTATTTAAAATTTTTGTTGTTACCTGTGAGGGTTGTTTTAAATCACAAATATATTTACACTAAATTTTAATATTTTAACATTTTAACATTTTAAAGTCAATTAGTTGACCAATCGTGCTGTGAACTTTTACGAAAGTAAACAACTTGTGTTTCGCGCGCTCATATGACCTTAGCAGTTGCGAGCGCCGTAAAACCCTATACTACTACTACTACTACTAAACTGACAAGATCTTTTGCTGTCCATAGCTGGGTACCCATTCTCACCTGGATGAAGCAAGGAAAATTCATGTAAAGCGCCTTTCCCAAGGACATAACGTCGGGCCCCTGATGGGATTCGAACCCACGACCTTATGGTTGTGAGTCCGTGAGCCTAATCACTAGGTCACTGATGCCACATAACAGATGCTGAAAAGGTCTGCTATTTGAGTAGAGGGCTTGAATAATAATTAATATTCAGAAAATTTTAGAGTTTATTTTTGTGTTAAGTAAGCTTTGGTGTCACTTGTTTTACATAGTAAAAATGCTGAGAAATGAGCAAAAGAGCAAAAATGTGTATGAAGAAATTTCAAAATGTTCATGATTTAAGTTACTGGTTTCTAAGTGTGTGGATTTCTGAATACTGGTGTTTCATAATGAACTTATTGTAACTATAATTCTATTTTTCATCAGAATTTCCATTCACGACTCAAGTATTGACACATCAGGTAATCTTTGTGAGAAATGTAAGAAGTAATGGACAGAATTTAAAAAGAATTATTCTTTGTTTTGAAATCTACCCTTTTCTTCAGGTTTTTATTTCTGTACTAGATGTTCCTTGTGAAAGTGTTTTTTGGATATTAAACTAGGAATGTCATTATGATTAGATTAACTCTCTTTGGTTACAAGATAAGATGAGATGATATAAGATAAGATAGATAAGATACGGTAAATCTATATTGTCCAGGTCCTGGCACATTGGTTTGATGTTTCACCATGCACGCAAGCGTGCGCATACACACACACACACACACACACACACACACACACACTCACACACACACTCACACACACACACACACTTACACACACATGCATGCA